GTTTGCCACCACGTGTCGACCACCGGGCACCGTCCGTCGCCCACCAGATCGTGATACCACTGCCAGACCTCAGGATTGATCGGCTCACCGACCGTACCCAGAACCCGTAGGCTGGAGCGATCGTATTTCGTCACCCAGTCGTCACCTTCCCGGGCGATGGCTCGGATCGCTGTCGGCGCGGTGTAGAAAATATCCACCTTCAAGTCGTCGACCAACTGCCAATAACGGCCCGCATCGGGATACATCGGGGTCGATTCGAACATCACCGTGGTCGCACCGTTGGCCAGGGGGCCGTAGATGATGTAGCTGTGGCCCGTGATCCAGCCGATGTCGGCGACGCACGCATAGACGCTGTCGGGCTTCAGGTCGAAGACATACTCATGGGTCAAGGAGGTGTAAACCAAATAGCCCGCGGTGGTGTGCATCACCCCTTTGGGTTTACCCGTCGACCCCGAGGTGTAGAGGATGAACAGGGGGTCCTCCGAGTCCATCCACTCCGCGGGGCAGGTCGCTCGCTGCTTGGCCAGCTCGGCATCGAGCCAATGATCCCTTCCTTGGCTCATAGCGACCTCGGTATCCGTGCGTCGAGACACCAGCACCGAGGTCACCGAGCTCAAACCGCTCACCGCCTCGTCGACGGTTTGCTTCAGGGGAATGGTCCGACCGCCACGCAACCCCTCGTTGGCGGTGACGACGATTTTGCAGTCGGCATCGAGGATCCGATCCCGCAAGGAATCCGCGGAAAATCCGGCGAAGACGATCGAATGCATCGCCCCGATCCGGGCGCATGCGAGCATGGTGTAGGCCAAATCGGGAATCATCGGCAGGTAGATACACACCCGATCCCCTTTGCCGACACCGTGGGCTTTCAGCACATTGGCCATGCGCCCGACCCGTCGCTCGAGCTGGCGATAGGAAATATGCTCATAGGCTCCCGGCTCGTCCGCTGCCCAGATGATCGCCGTTTTGTCCGGCTGGGAAGCGGCATGACGATCCACACAATTGAAGCAAACGTTCAGCTTGCCGTCCCGGTACCAACTGAAGTCCACCTCGTGGTAATCCCAGGTGCCGGCAGAGCTCGGCGGTTGGAACCAGGCCAAGCGCTCGGCCTGCTCCAGCCAGAATCCTTCCGGGTCTTGGAGAGACCGTTCGTACATCTCACGATATTGGTCGAGGCTGCTGACTTTAGCGTCTTTGGCAACGGCATCTTTGACGGGAATCATCGAATACTCCTGGGATCCATGGAACAACGGGGGTTGGACCGGCAAATACGAGCGAGTGTGGTCTAGCGGGCTGTGGCCTCATCATATCGGTTGCGCCCGGGGTGTCGGCAAAGCCCTTCCGGAATGACCCCAGGCCGGCATTGCCGTCGGAGGCAGCCTGCAAGGTAGAATGCACAATCAATCCCGTAAAAAGCGAGCGCTGTTCGCGTTAGAGTGGCAGCCGGGCTTCGATAGCGCTGCCAATCACGGAAGATTCTACACTTGCAGGGACGAAAGAT